GGTTCCTCATCTTTCTTTGTTTTCCAGAGCTTCTTCACTGCAATCAACTCGCCATTTGGCATTTCTGCTCTATAAACAACTCCAGAACAGCCTTTCCCAATGATGTTTTCATCTTTCAAGCAATCCAAGATGTTGTCAACGGTGCAATTGAGCTTCTGGAAAGGGATGAAAGTCCACGGATAGGTAAAATCTTCTGCCCCTATTGCAGAGACTGACATGCCAGGTGATTTCTCAGATTCATATCTATACTTCCTTGTCACAAGATACCATGTTGCCACGACTGTTATGGCTACAGACGTCAAAATCACTGCAACCAAAGATATGGATTTTGAAGACTTCAAGCGGTTCCTTCTTGTTATATGTGCAGAACAAGTGAAGCCATCAATTGATTCACAAAGGAGTGAATTCTCCAGAAAGGAATTTGATGTTAGAGTTCTAAAGGAGGGTGTTACAGGAATAGGCCCCGAAAAGTTATTATACGATATATTTAGAGTAGCGAGACTGGTCAGGAGGCTTAGAGTTGTGATTCTTCCGCTCAACATATTATGAGAAATATCAAGAGATTGCAACAGTGTCAATCCCGATAACGTCTCAGGGAGTTCACCTGTGAAACGGTTTGAGCTCAAATCTAAACTGATTGTTAAGCTTGTCATGTAACCAATCTCAGGTGAAATTGCACCAGATAAACTGTTGGAGCTCAAATCAAGTAGAGTTAACTTCTGCAAGTTGCTAAATGACTTTGGAATTGGACCGGTAAGCAGATTATCTCTAAGAATAAGTTTGTTCAAGTAACTGAGATTACCAAAACTCCAGGGAATCTCACCAGTGAAGCTGTTCTTGCTGAGATCAAGCTGTTCTAAATTCACGAGCTCTCCCAGCGATGATGGTATTTCCCCGGTTAGGTAATTGTTATGCACATCCAACAGCTCAAGAACCGTAATGTTGGCAATTTCAGAAGGCAATTCACCAGAGAAATGGTTCATGTATAAATCAAGAAACACAAGATTCTGCAGCTGTCCTATCTCCTCAGGTATTGGTCCAGAAAACTGGTTTTCGCCAAGCCTCAACCTGACCAGAGACTGGCATTTTGCCACACTCGGAGACAATCTTCCCGTTAATGAATTCCCAAGTAGCAACAACCTACTCAGCTTCTTCAAACTGAATATCTCTTCAGGTATTGAACCAGTGAGATTGTTTCTTGAGAGGTCAAGTGAGTACAGTTCAGTACAGTTTCCGAAAGCAGCAGGAATAGTTCCTGAAACTGAATTCTCCCACAACAAGAAAATCTGCAAGTGCCTCAACTCACCAACTTGCTCAGGAATCGTGCCGGATAATAGGTTTTTATCCAACTGAAGAGCTGTTAAGCTGCTACAATTACTCAACTGCATTGGAATAGCCCCACTAAGTGCATTATCAGATAAGTGAAGCTGTTCAAGAACTTCAAGCTTCCCTAAATCACCCGGTATTTCGCCAGACAAGTCATTTGCAGAGACATCAAGAACCACAAGGGATGAACAGTTCGATAGCTCAGCTGGGACAGGGCCGGTAAGCAAATTTCCCCATAAAAGCAAGCTATTAATCTTTTTTAACTTGCCCAACTGACGAGGGATTGGACCGGTAAGCTTATTCATGTGCAAATACAAGTTCCTGAGCTCTGAACACATCCCAAGTTCAGGAGGTATTGAACCAAACACTTCAGTATCATACACTGCCAGAGTTTGTAGACTGATCAAATTACCAAATGTATGTGGAATAACCCCAGAAAGTCCAGTAGCCGCGACACCAAACGTCGTAAGATTGGTAAGCATTCCTAGCTCTGCAGGTATTTCACCACTCAACTCTGGATTCCCTCCAATCCTTAACTGTTGGAGTGACACCAATGAGCCTAAATCTTTCGGAATCGAACCGTTAAGGAGATTGTCTTGAAGACAGAGGATTTCTAGTGAGGAAAGATTAGCAAGTTGATATGGGATTCTACCACTCAATCTGTTTGAATTCAAGAAAAGGAACTGAAGTGAGGTAAGTCCACCAAGTTCTGAAGGAACAGGTCCTGAAAGTGAGTTAGAAGAAAGATCAAGAAGCCTAAGATGTGTAAACAAACCAAAAGATGAAGGTATTGAGCCAGAGATATTTGTAGAAGAAAGATTAAGAAGCTGAAGAGATGTGAGTGAAAAAAGTTCAAAGGGAAAAGAAGATAGATTGAGGAATGTATTTGGAATAGAAACAGATATAACTCTTTGTTGAGGAGAACAAGAAATGCCTTGCCAAGAACATGGAGTTGAAGTTGAAGCATTCCAAGAAGGAAGTACAAAAGATGATGATTTAGCATAAGGATCATAAGTTGCTTTGAGAAGAGAGAGCAAAGCTTTTCCATCAGAAGACAAAGAGTTCACTCTTCTTGGACTCAAACTACTTAACAAGAAGAAGAATATAATGAAAAAATATGACAAAGTTGTCATCTTATCTCAATTTTTTTGAGCCTTTGAAGTGGACTGACAGTGAAAATCAAGAAATGGGAGTTTTGGAGAAGTAGTGGCACACACAAAGATGTTAATTAAAATTTTGGAAGATATAGTTAAAAGTCTACTAATAGGAGACAACATGCATGTGATAGAGGGCTAGTTTAGTAATGGGAGTGCTTAAAATTCACACAATCTCTAGTTTGAAAACAATATACTTTCTTCGTTTTAATTTTTTGTTTGTTTTAATGATCTGACATTACACGGAGTTTAAAAAAATACATATAACTTTTAAATTTTGTGGACTTAAATTATTTATACTGACGTAAATTATATTCACTTTTTGAAATTCATGCTTATCTACTTATAATTTTATAAATTAGATAAACTATATGATATATAATAGGTTAATATATGTAATATTTTCACATAATGAATTTGAAATTTGAAATTTGTTTTTATTTTCAAGAAATAGAATCCTCCATTGGAAAGGGGAGAAAGAGTGGAGTGATACAACAGTGAGCCAGCTTAGAAAAATGTGAAAGACAAAAAGAAAGGGGATTGGATTAAGCATTCAATTATATTATTCCGTAAAATCTATTTATAACAATATCGTTTCTTCGTATATATTTTGTCTACTGTAATAATATAATATTGTAAAGAACATATAATATAATATGTTACGAAAAATTAGTTTGAAAACAAACCTGAATGTTATAGTGAAATGTTACTAAAAAATGATTGTTATAGAAAAGTTACTATCTGTATTTTCGCTTAGGATGTGTTTGGTGTGGATGAAAATATATATTTCTGAAATAATTATCGAACACAAGAAAATAAATATTAGGAATATATGAATATGAAGTGTGTTTCAAAGAAAAGGCGTGATTATAGAGGAAACCGAATTAAAGTAGGTATTTTTTTTTAAAAAAATATCTTTATTTTTACTTCTTACCTTACTTGGTAAAGTTAAAGAAAATGATGGTAAATTGGTAACTATTCTTTTGTTTTTACTGGCTATGCTATTAGTCACTTAGATGAGGTGAATTATAAGTTAAGTGAGTGTAATTAATTTGGTTATCGAGGAAGAAGTAGTGGAATTATTTTGGGAGAAGGGCTAAAGAAAAATGTTGTCACATGAAATAAAGAGAGTTAAGTAATTTCTTTGAATAAATTAGGGCACAAGTAACGATTAGGGTTTATCTCTACAATGTTTCACTAACTTTTTTGAGCATGGAACATTAATAATTTTGAACACAATCATAAAATCTTAATGTCTATGGAACGATGCGAAATAGTTTGATATTGTCTTTTAGGAGAATATTTAGACTGTTTTTCTTATTATATATTTTATCCGTCCCTGTTTATTTATCAAATGACTTTTTATTTGTTATAAACACTACTAGTAGTACTTCATTGAAACCTATGAATAAAAGGTGGTTTTTGCATATTAGTCTCCCTAGTACATATTTTGCTCTCTTGCTCATTACTCTTTAGTTCAATTAAAAAGGAATAAAACAAAAACTACTATGTATTAATATAAATATATAATTCCCTTTTTACAACGAATATAGATTATTCTCGAAAAAAGAAATTACTAATAGTGAAATACTAAATAATATACACAAAATAGTGTACCTTTTTGTAATGACTTTAGGTCACACTTTAATTGTAGTTTGTCTCTTATTTAATTCTTGTTTAGATTTGCATGGAGCCCCAAAACCTAATTAGAGTTCTATTTTGATCCAAAACATTGCACTTGGATTATTCTATTAGATTCAAACTTAACTCTACTTTCTCGTACACAAAAAATAATGCATAGTAGAACTGCTTCACCCTTAATTAAAAGTCTCAGGTTCAAGTTTTCTGAACATGAAGAAAATTCTATTGAGAGTGTCATCCACAAAAGAACGCTACGATGAATGATTCAAATATAATCAAAGCTCTATTATTTAATGCTGAGTCCCATAAAAAATATTTCACAAAGACAAAGTTAATAAAGAATACACGAAGAGGATAAAAATAAATATAGCCACAATAATATTTTCTGATAATGATAAAAATAATTTCTTTTTAAAAAACTTTTTGTGTTGGGGCATTTCAGGAATTCAATAACCATGGATTATATTATTTTATTATAATTTTATTTTTAATATCTTTAATTTCTTCATTATTAACAATTAATAAATGAACTCACTAAAATGGAGGAGGTATCTTTTCCTGAAAATGTGCATTGAGCCAAGAAAAAATGTTGAACTATTTGTTGTCATGTTGATATACATAGAGTGAAACCTAAGTGATGCAATCCGTTTGGTTGATATAGGATAAGAGATAATAGATAAGAAATAATAATTTTACCCTACGTTTAGTTATATATATTAATTAGAGTCCGTTTGAATTAGTCGATTATAAATAATTTATATGTGTAAAGTGTTGAAAATTAGTCGATTATAAGTATTTAAACAGAAGTATTGGAATTGTTGATTAACACAACAAAGTATTGAATAAGATGTTCTTTTGTTCAAATTATTAAAACAACCTTAATTTTTTTCGAAATTATATATAATAAAACGGATACAGATAGGGGGGCTTGACCTTACCTTCGAATACATCACAAAGGATAAAGACTTATCCAATTACATTTTTTTTTCTATATAAACTACTAACTAATACATATATGGTGATGTTCTCTCTTTCTACACCATATATAATTTTTTTTTTATTGTCATAAATTTATTGAAATTAATTCACCAAACTTTCAATGGATAATTATGTATACAATCATTCCAAGGATTATCATAATCTTGATTTGAATCTTGAATCCATTTCCACACCAAACTTCCAACTTTAAAACCTGTCCCAAATGCAATCATCCACATTTTGTCCCCTTTTTTCACTTTACCTTTTTGTGCTTCAAAATAAGCTAACTCATAAAATACTAAGCTACTTGATGTGTTACCAAATCTATTCAAAGTCATTTTTGCTGCCTCTGTTACTTCATCACTCAATTTTAGAACTCGACTAACTTGCTCTATTACTGCCTTCCCACCTACATGCATCGAACGATAAAATTAGCTCATAAAATTAATATGTTTCATATATTAAATCAATCATTATCAAGAGATGGTTTTTGATTTTTGATCCCACTTGAACTTTTGTTTTATCTATAGGAAAAACATATATCAGAAGTTCAAAATCAATTCATTTTTTTATGTCATTAGTATTTAGTTCATCTATAACTTGCACTGATATATAGTGATCAATTAGAAATTTTGTCATATTTTATAAAGATTTTTTTGCTTAATATATTGCGTCTCATTTATTTAAAAAAAAATGACATAGTTTGACTTGACACAAAAATTTAAAAAATATATCAAAATGTCTTTATTCTCGTAACCTTAAACATGTCACGAGAAAAGCTAAAACTACATTATTTTCAAAAAAAAAGAAGAGAATATTTTTTTAAAAACATATTAAAAATAAAGATATAGCATTATTTTTTAAAAAGAGGTGTGTAATCATAATAAATAGAGTTGAAGGTTATATAGTTATTACTAAATAAATTATATAGAAAAAAATTAAAACTTAACAAAAATCAAGCAAAGTTGAATTATTTTTTATTTGTCAACAATTTTTAGTATAACTAACTTCAGTGCAAATAACTTTTATATAATTAAAGAAAAAAATGCTCAAGTATCCCCCTAGATATTATAATCGAAATTTCAGAAATATATCTTAACAAAATTCAGGTCATATTATCTTTTGAATTTTTTTTTTATAATTTTGTGCATATTTTTAGCTTAAGTGACATCCAAATATCTCCCATATTGCGCCTCAATTGTGTGGAGTCATGGAGTGCATCACATAAGACAAAAAGTATATAAAATTACAAAAAAATTAAGTTCAAGAGGTAATAAAACTTTAGTATAATTTAAAATATGTCTCTAAAATTTCGATTATAATTTAGAAAAATACTTATATACTTTTTCATAATTAAATAAATTTAAATTTAGCTTAACTCATTCATTTGATATCTGAACTACCTGTGTGTATGCACATGTGTTGGAAAGCTGTTGTAAAATCAGGAACCACTGGCTTGAATTTTGATTGAGGCAATATTGTAGACATTATGATTGAGTAAATATAATTTGTGATTTGTGTTAATGGAAGGACGCGAGGAGCCAAGATTTTAATGTGTTGATGTAGTAAATCTTTGGTAAGTGAAATGCCAGTAATACCTGTCATCGAAATACAGTACAAAGTTTAAGAAAAAAAGAAAATTTTTAAATTACTATATTCATAAATCATAGATAAATATAATATATTAATATATTAGGTTCTTCTCGATCCAATCTTTTTGTGTGAAAATTCATTGTAGTTACAACAAATGGTGGATATCAACTTATAATTTTCAATAATACTCATGTTTAATATTAAAAATTTTAAAGATAGAACTCATATAAAATTTAAATTATGAATTCGTTTATGTTTTTAAAAACTTTTCAAAAAAGTAAAATAGACAAATTTTAAAATTAAATATACTTTAAAAATTTTAAAAAATAATGTCAAATGAAGAAAAATTACAAGGCCGATTCTAGAATATTATATGGATAATATCAAAGGATTTAATTGATATAATTAAGTATATTTTTATCAAGTTATAATTATAAATTACAAGCTATTTTACAACATATCATTACATAATATAGATCTTAAAACTCTTAATTAAATGAAGCTATATCCAACGATGCATGTTCCTAGAAAGACATGAAATGTTATACATTCGTCATACGATAGAATTGATATTTCATGTTATTGTTATTATTATATGCTTTTTACAATAGTTAAACGATATCAGAACAAACGAGAATGTTATAAAGACGTTTGACTGTATTTAAATATATACGTACCTTTTTCGTCTTCCTCTTGAATTGCAGCTCTATAAGAACTATCATCGGCACCATGATGAGTTCTAAGAGAATGAATAAGTTCCATTTTTGCCCTTTTGAAAAGTTTAGGATTATTACTTATTATAGCAGCAGCACATCCAACACGAAAAATACAATTTGTAACAAGCATTGAACGATTTTCACCATGGTACCAATTTAAAGTTATGCTCTCCGTAATAACGATAAGGGCATTTTGGACTTTTCGACTCCCACGTAAAACCCTAGCTGCAAAATCAATCGAAAGTACCCCGGAGCTACACCCCATTCCACTTAAATTATACGTCTTCACGTCTGATCTAAGGTTATAACGGTTCACAACGAGGGAAGAGAGTGAAGGAGAAGGCGAAAACCCTCCACATGTAACGATGACAACGTCTATTGATCGAGGATCGATTAGGGTTTTACCTAAAAGTTCATCGATAGACGAAAATACCCCTTCTCTAGCTTCTTGATTTGCACTTTTTAGTGTAGGTACATTTTTTGTATTATTATTATTATTATTATTATTATTATCACCATCATCGTCGTCTTCAAATATAAATGGTGGTCCATAAGTTTCATCACCTAAACCGGATTTAAGATAAATGTTACGCATGAAATCGATGGATTTTTTGACTAAATGTACATTTCTTAGAACGTATGAGTCAGAAATTTTATAAGAACATTTCCTATGTGGTGGTGGTTTGTAACATGTATAATTTAACAAAAAGACCCTATGTGGACGTGTATGATAGTTATAGTAAATTGAAATAAGTGTACATAGAGAAAATAATAGAAAAAAATGAAGATGTGTAGTAAGGAGAAAATAAAGTAATTTTGTTAAAGGGGTGTAAGATATTGTAGTAATAAGAATAAATGTGAAGAATAAAAGTGATAAAAATGATAGTTGTAGGGTATGTATAATTGGGAGTACCATTTTCTTGTCTTTTTGTTTCTTTTGAATTTTAATTTCATACTTACAAATTAAGTCCTTATATAAGGTATAGTTTTATTTTTATTTTTTGTATGTGTACGTATTAGGGCAGTGGGTAGTAGGGGGTTAAAGAGTTGGCATTAATTGAATGACTTACGTTGGCATTTGACATATTGCAAGAATCAACGTGCTCTCATGAAAAATATTGTGAGCGGAGAAAGCTGGAAGAGTTTTTTTTCATTCATTTGTTATTAAGTTTCAAGTTAATTTACGTTTTCTTTTACGAATCCTATAATATATTTTTGATATACAACATGTTATATATGTTACATTACATAACTTATTATGTCTTATGACTAGCGAAATACTATAGTACGAAAACATCAATGTTATTTCAATATCATAATTATATTTGATTATTTATTTGTTACTTAAAATATTGAAGGAAAAAATTAAAGAACACATATTTAAAGGATAAAAACTAAAAACTGTATTAAAATATAGATATTTTATTTGTGTGAATGACATTTATCTAACCATCTTGTCATTCGATCAGTAGCTTATAAGACATTTTATTATAAAGTCAAAGTAAAGCATTGATGACATGTTTGATTGAGTGAAATAAGGAGATTGAATTAAATTCAGTAGATAATGTGCATTTTACTTAAAAGTCATAAAATATGTTAATACTCAATTATATCCTTAGTCTATACCCAAAATTCTTACGACACACCTTATCTTTGATAAAGTCCTATTATCTCCTCCATTTTTTTTAAAAAAAATAATTTATTATCCCTTACGTGTCTACGTGGCAATAGTCGTGATTTCACCCATGTAGGGCGCATGAGTGCAGAGTGAGTGCAGATTTTGGCTAACAATGATCAATAAAAATTAGCCACGTGTCAAAGCAATTTGAAAAAAACTTCAAAAATAAATTTTATTGTTTCTCTCAAAAGCATCTTCTTCCTCTTTTCAAAAAATAACCCCAGGTTCATGGTTCTTCATTTTTGAAGAAGCTCCATCCATTATCATTCAAGTTAAATAGCTCCTTGATTTGAAAAGATAAAGTAAAATTTAATATATTCATTACATCTTTTTATGTCGATTATTAATTCTTATTTTTTTGATAATGTTTATAAAGTTAGGGTTATGACAAAATCCGAGTTGAATAAGTTGTGTATGGATGAGAACGATTCAATGTTACATTGCAACCAAAAATTAACTCCCAAAATCCAACAACGAAAATCAAATTTCAGTTGGAAACCTAATTTCTAACCTTTGAAATCGATCCCGTCCACACATGCAACACTTTCCCTCTTACTACTTCATCCACTTTTTGGTAAAATTAATTTGGAAAAGAGTAAACGCCAGCTTTTTAAACTTGGGAAGTGTAAAGTAACTTTATCGAAAGCTGAAACAGTGGGTCCCAGCGCGTGTTCAACAAACAAATCGACCTTGCAGATTATTATTGCCACGTAGGCACGCAAGGAGTAATAAATTACTTAAAAAAAAGTTGAAGGGAGTAATAGGACCTCATCAAAAATAAGGTATATCGTAGAAATTTTGAGTATAGGCTAAGGAGATAATTGAATATTATCCCTAACATATATATGTAATACGTAGTTGAAGCAAGAAATTTAAGGAGGTGGTTAGGAGTCTACTGGCCAGCAACAAATAAAATAACTACAAACAAAATGCTTTTATCTTTTAGGATGTATATATATATATATATATATGCATTATTCTATATGTTAGATTGATATGATATGAGGAGCCTAAGTCAACTTTTCTTTAAATATATATATAATATATAGAGTATATATCCACACAATTTGTATTTATATAATAATAAAGTAAATAAGAGAGAAGTATTAAAACAATCATTAAATTTGATGCGGAGCATTAGTTTCATTTTAATAACTATTGATAGTTTTAAAAGTACAGTTTAACATGACTAACTGAATTTAAATACATTCTCGATCTTGCAAACTGAATGAAATATATCATTAAATTCTCGTTAATTTTAAGGGTATTTACAATATTTCTCTCGACTCTTTTTATTAAGAATCACATGCTCTTACAAGGGTTCGAGACAACTTGATATGTCATGTAGTAAATCGAAGGTGTATCTAAATTTAGTTAATCAAATATGATGAGTGTTTTTAAGACGGTTAACAGTTCAAAACGAAATAACAATTTACTCCAAATTCAATGATGCTTTTAATATTTCATTTCATTTGTCACTAATCCGTCGGAAAGTAGAATTGTGAGGGATTCTTCCGTTACAAGTCTTGTAAAAAACTCTTGAATTAATAAACATTATAAAAAACAAGTATTCCTATACTATGATCAAAATTATAAAACTTTAATTTAGATAAAACGTGTCTCTAAAATTAACTCAGTCATAGTCTAAGAGATCGATACTTGTATCTTATCCCTAAATTTTAATTATTCATATAGAGTATCATTTACATAATTACATTGAAGATGTGGTCACCGAAATGTGCATATTTCTTTTTAGACATTTATTGAGTGAGTTTTTTCTCAATATTTACTTCCATTGCTTTTAGGTGTTGATACAATTGCTTTTCTTATCGTGTTTTTCCTATTTTATCCTTTGTAAACTATTTTTAAAATTTTTTTGTAAACTATTGAAAAAGTTAATTTTATGAATTTATTATGAATTAAGGAGATTATGGTGAAAAATATTTTAAAAAATAAATATGAAGTGTAAATTACAAAAGTGTGTGACATACGTTATGGTGTAAATTGCAAATTACTTTGAATAGATATCTAGTCCTCATCTACCATTGATACAATATTTGTATATAAACAGACATATTTCTAGTATTTAAGTTGCCAAAAAGAGTTAAGGTTGTTAGTAAAAAATGAGGAGATTGAATAATTTGACAACTTATTATGGAATTTTTTGGTAAAAATAAACGGAAAATATGTAAAATATTGTAACAATGTAAATAGGTTAAACTATATTTATTGACTTTACTCTTTAGAATGCCCCTAACCTATTATTGTTATTTTACCTTAAAAACTTTAAATCATATACGCCTTGTGCAAGAGAATTTTAAGCTTTTAAATCACCAACAAGTTATCTACATATAGTATCTTATCATAAAAAGTTAGACGCGTTATTTTAAAAATAAAACAAATTCATCTATTATAACGCATAAAAATAATTCTATTATCTCCATATCAGCTGTCAATAAATTAATCGGATCAAAAATCGCATCCTAAAATGACTTATTTGCTCAAGTGAGAAACTTAGGGCCCGTTTGGATGGGCTTAATAAAAGCAGCTTTAAAAAAGTACTTTTGAAAGTGCTGAAACTTATTTTTAAAATAAGCAGTTATGCGTTTGGATAAAAGTGCTGAAGTTGTTATGCCAAACGGAAAAGGGAAAAATGGAACAAAGAGATGTTAGGGTTATATGGGTAATTTGGAGATTGTATAAAAATATTAAAGGCAAAAAGATAAAAATGTGGTGAACTTAAAACAGCTTATAAGCTAAAAAAAAAATCACCCCTACCCCAGCTTTTAACTTTTGGCTTAAAATAAATTATTTTGAGTATTAAGTCAGTTTAACCAGCTTTTAAGCTGCGCCAAACAGGCTCTTATTTGCCTAATTCTCTCCACCCTCTATCCTCATAGCTACCACTATTTTTCTAGTGTTTCCCTAAATTGTATAAATAAAATTGCATTTTCTCATTTGAAAATCATGAGGTCTATATATATCGCACCAATCTATATAAGTTAGACCTCTTGACTTTCAATATCAAGAGGTCTATATATATTGCACCAATCTATATAAGTTAGACCTCTTGATTTTCAATATCAAGAGGTCTATATATATTTTGCACCAATCTATATAAGTTAGACCTCTTGATTTTCAAATGAGAAAATGCAATTTTATTTATACAATTTAGACAAACACTAGAAAAATAGTGGAAGCTATGAGGATAGAGGGTGGAGAGAATTAGGCAAATAAGTTTCTCACATGAGCTTTGTTGTTTTTTTTTCTTTTCCACTTATAAGTAGAGCCTCTAAATCTCCCTTGTATATGCAAAAGACATAATTTGAGAAAATGGCCTCCTCTTCTCTACAATCCCCAATAGTTAAAAGGTTATTTTCCTTCTTTAATTTATTTTATTTACTTTAATTTATGCTTCGAAAATGATAATAATGATAACAACAATAATAATATTTTTATAGGCTTGAAGGTAAGATTGCAATTATAACTGGTGGTGCTAGTGGAATAGGAGCAGCCACAACTAGACTTTTAGTTCAACATGGTGCAAAAGTTACAATTGCAGATATTCAAGACGATGTAGGAAATTTGTTAGTACATGAAATTGGCACAGAACACATAATGTTTGTACATTGTAATGTCACGATTGAATCTGACATTCGAAACGTGGTTGATGCAACCATTGGTAAATTTGGTAAGCTTGACATAATGTTCAGTAACGCTGGTATAGCAGGTAAGCCGATTTCAAGCATCCTTGATGTAAATTACGATATAATTAAGAACGTGTTTGATGTAAACGTTGTTGGTGCATTCTTCTGCGCGAAACACGCTGCTAGAGTGATGATATCGACCAAAACAAAAGGTTCCATTATATTCACAGCAAGTGTGGTGGCAACGACATATGGCGATTTGCCACACACTTATGTGGCCTCAAAAAATGCAGTTTTGGGGCTCTCAAAGAATGTTGGAGTCGAATTAGGAAGATACGGAATAAGAGTTAATTGTATTTCTCCTAGTGGAATTGGGACACCATTGGCATTGAAAACGCTAGGAATAGATGAGAGAGAAAAGGCAGAGAAATGGTTTGGTGAAGGGGGGAATTTGAAAGGAGCTTTATTGGAGGAACAAGATGTGGCAAATGGAGTGTTGTATTTGGCAAGCGATGATTCTAAATATGTGAGTGGTTTGAATTTAGTTATTGATGGTGGTTATAGTACTACAAATGTGGCTTTGGGTGAGGCCTACAAGAAATTGTTCTTATCTACTGCTCAACTTGAGTCCAACAACAAATAGAAAGGCAAATTGAGATTTTGTTTGTCCTCTTAAATAAGTGATGTTTCAATAGGGAGGAATTTCGAAAGTACATGTAATACATTAAATTATTGAAGAATTGCTAGTGCTCTCAGTAAACAATAATTAAGGATGGAAAAGTATTACAATAATTGTATTTGTTTATTTTAGAATATAAAATGTTACAATTTCTATGATTCGTCTTTTCCTATAGATTGTAGGACTTTTGAGCTTGATATTTTTGAATTTGTTTTTAAACTTGATCTTGGATTCAAAGCTTTGAAGCTTGTTCTTGAATTTTTGATGAACTTGAACTTTATTAAATTTTATGAAAAAAATTACAAATTACTCCGAATGAAGTAGCTAGAAGTATGATCCTCATCTACCATTCCTAACATATTTGTATGTAAATAGACACTCATCATAAAAAAGCAAGACATAAAATTTTTAAAATAAAACAATTTAATAGTTATAACATATATTGTTAAAAAATGGCAAAAGTCCACATCGATGGTTAATGAGATGGGTGGACTCCTTATAAGGCTTGGACAGTCCTTCTCCCTTTGAGCTAACTTTTGGTGTGTGAGTTAGGACTAACACCTAATTTAACATGGTATCAGAGCAGGGCTCGTCTCTCCCGATATTGGGGCCCACATAAATCAAAATTGTCCACCCGATGTTGTGACCCCAAAATCAAAATTGTTCACGCACTAGACGCTAAACACTGGGCGTGAGGTGAGATGTTAAAGAATGACAAAAGTCTCACATCGACGGTTAATGAGATGAGTGAATTCTTTAACAGGCTTGGCAATCCTCCTCCCTTTGAGCTAACTTTGGGGCGTGAGTTAGGCCTAAGACCTAAACTGACACATATAAATAATTATTATATATCTCAATTTGGAATGCCGGAACATCAATCGGAAAATAAAATTTTAATGTGTAACCGAACCGAAAATCGAACCAAACTGTAAATCGAGTCAAATAAAAAAAAAATTCAACTAGTGATTTGGTTTGACTTAGTTGGTATTGGAAAAAAAAACCCGACTATATTTGGGTTGGTTTGATTTCAACTAAAAAAAACCAACCCAAGAACAAACAACCCGACACTATATATATAATTTAAAATTTTATTTTATACATAAAAATACTTACTTTGATATAATTTTAAATATCTCTAATACTTTTTCATAGTTTTTATCTTTTAATATATTTATTTCATGTTTGGAAGTTAGAATTCTTAAAAATCTAATAAATATTACTGTCCATACATGTTGGTAATTGTAATAAAGTTTAAATAAAAATCAAATTAATACTAATGTAAAAAAAAATCAATTAAACACTAAGAATGACAATAATATTGAATATTTATTTTTTAGTTTTACATAGATCTAGACAATTAAATACATGATCTAATTTTACTTTCTTTTAATATTTAGTCATGTAACTAATAATTACTAAACTTGCATGATTTAGTACTTTAAATTATGATCAATTTTCATTATGACTTATTAATTTGCAATATCTGTTTTACGCGATTTTATTAGTATTTTTTGTTGGATATTTCAATGTCATTAATCATATTATATTTTTTGTTATTTTCTTGAGGAATTACTTAGATAGTTGCATTTTAGTCCTAAAGAAATATTTGAAGTACAAGTAAATTATATGTTTATACGAATACTTTATCGAAAAAATTGAAAAATTCGAACCAACCTAGTCATGTACACCCCTATATAAACACAAAATAAAATATAAAATTTATTAAAAATAAAAAGTAAAATTATGGAATAGAATTTATAAAACAAACGTATAGGATATGTTCATTAATTAACAAGAGATATATTGGTATGTATATGAAGGAGACATTTTAGTCTTGATAAAATAATTTTCCGCTTCTTTTCAATAGCAGAAAAACTACTTCTGCTTCCATTTAGAAGTAGTTTTACAAGTATGCCAAACACCTAATTTTTTAAAAAATAAATAAATATATTTTCTCAAAATAAATGCTTCTGAGCTCCTAACAACAATGTTAAACAAGATTCTTAATTTTTAATTTAGCCGAAAGAGTTAAGGGTGTTAGTCAAAAGTGAATAATTCGACAACTTTTTTGTAAAAAAAATTCAATTGGATTGAAAATAAATTATATATATATATATATATATATATATATATATATATATATATATATAATAAGTA